CGTGTGGCTCTTCCCCCCCCCCCCCCCCCACCATGTGACAGTATGTAGGTCTGAATGGAATGTAGTAGATCCCATTGCACTCCTGACCGGATCAAGCCCACGTAGAAAGTTGGGGGGTGCTGGAACTGACTACGGATACTTCTGCACAACAAACCAGAAAGTCACTCGCACTCCGTTGCAAATAACAGTCAATCTCCTTTATTGACCATCGTGATGTCGTATAGATAAAGCGTCGTTTCCGACACTCCCAGAAGTGTCAATTTTGCTGAAAGATTGCCAGGAGGATATCTACTGATTGGAGCAGCAGGCACATTTTTGGTAAGTATTCTGAATACAGATTGCCTGCCTGCCTTTTGTTTGCTGGGTGCCACTTGATGACAGGGCAAAGATTTTATTAACCCATGCAATGGGGCTACCGCAGCAAGGCAAGAGATAAGTGCTTATTTTTGTCTAGGGTCAAAAATAATTATACTTTCCCTATCCTCCGAGCTGGACATCTGTGACACCACTCCCTCCAGCTTGCCTCCTCCGCTGCAGTGATGGCATGTCCCTTGACACCCTGACATCCTATACACGGTGTATAGAATGTGATGACACGGGACCTTAGATCTCTGCAGCAGAGGGGGAGTCTAAGAGCAAGTCTGCTCCAAGGATCGGGTGAGTATTTATATTTGACCCTAGGCAGAAAGGCGCACTTAACACTTGCAGTGCGGGGGTAGCCTCACTGCAAGGGTTAAAGGAGAATTATGAGGCGAGTGATTTTCACTCAGCCTCATAATCTGAGCCGACCTGTGACAATGAAACTGTCACAGGTCGGCTCAGTAGATTGGGAGGTGAGCGAACACATACCAGCGCTCGCTTACTTCTCGATCTATCCGTGCAGAGAGCCGTGACTGTCACTCATGGCGCCCTGCAGGGATCCTCCCCCGTCCGATCCTCCATCGCTGACTGGCAGAACGGACGGGGGAGGGGGCGGGTTCAGCTGGGTCTGCCTCTAGATGGGCAGAGTCAGCTGTCACTCACGCAGCTGGGTGGATCCAGACAGTAATGTCGGGATCTGTTCCGGCTGCGGCGTCTCAGTATACCGCAAGCTGTAGCTCGCGGTATACTTAGCTTTGGGTGACGGGAGGACGCCCTAACCCCATAGTTCTCCTTTTTAATACAATTTTTATCCAGAGTTCTGCTTTAAAAGAAGGCCACATGATTGAAATCCAATTGGGTTTTGTGTACTTGGTATACATTTTAATATACTTCTAAGTTATTGCTGAAACTTTCACTTTCTTTAGCCTGGCGGGATATAAAGGGTTTAGCAAACACTTCCCTTTTATCACAATTCATTTCTAAAGGTTATTTGATCCATTTTCGTGCCCTTCAGATCTTTGACATGTCACGGGTGGACTTGAATCATTTTAACTTTTTTTTTTGTCCCCCCTTTATAGGATGTTTTGACCTCAACGTCTTCCAGTTCTTCCAGGTAATGGGGGAAGTTTCGTTATGTGTAAATAATGGGGCGTTCTGAATCGGTTCTTGTGAAATAAATGGCATTGGGTTCATCCATATTCAGTGGCCGTTCTCTTACCTCGATTCACACAAATTGTGACCTGAGCCCGTGGCCGGTGAAGTCGGCAAATGCTGGTGTTCAGTTTAAAACTGTCACTTGTTGCTAATCTTTTTATTAAAAGACTCAAAGCAACGTTGACTGTCACTTGTTGCTATGTGTCTTGATGGTCCCATGCAAGCTTTGCAGAGCTCCATAGGAGTCCATGGTGTTTTGTGCTAAAAATCCGTGATTTGAAATGTTTAAAGCTGAACTCCAGTCAGGTGTTTAAAAAAGCATAAAAGAATGCAGCTCTGTAATCAGTAATACATTATTGAAGGTACATTTCTAAATGCAAGCAATGTGAGTACCTTAATTTTAGTGGGTATCCGATTCTTGCAATCCCCTGTATAGCAGAGCTCAGAGATTGGGAGGGGAGAAGCACTATAATGAAGCCAGCCAGGTGTGCTGCTGTGCAAAGAGCCATGCTGATAAGAAAAGAGTGCAGAAGTGAGCGTATCAGTGTGCGTATCAGTGTGCTGCTTCTCGTATAACTGTCCAGTCACAGGATGGGAGTAAGGAGGGGACCTGTCAGGAAAAGTCAAAAACATCAGGACCCCTCCCTCTCTACATAGTGCTTTGCTGTGGAACAGAGCTGTGTAAATTTCAGGACTAGATGGGCAGAACTATAAATCCTTTGGCAAGTAAAACTGGTGCCATGTATGTATTTCATATGTGTATTTAGATGTTTGCCTGGAGTTCAGCTTAAGGAACCCATTCCGATCTATGCATGCATGTTTTAACACTTGTTTTGTCTGCTCCATCCTTTCCTACAGGCTCCTAACAAGGTTCAACCAAGCAAAAAACATACCTGACTCCTTTCTTTTCCCTTTTTTTATTTTAGGTTTTCTAGAACACAACAATGTAGAATAAAAACAGCAGTCAGAACAGCGTAATAGCAAAGAAAGAGCAGAGAGAGTCTTGCAGGCCTATGCAGTCATCGATAAAAGACCGCAATCTGTAGTGAGTGTGTGGGTGCAGAGCCACAACCTAACCTTACCCATTTCTGGCCAATACCGCACACAAGAACGCATGTGTATTCATGGCTGATTGAATGGGCAGGTGTATGGTTTACTGTGCTGCCTTGGGGACGGGACGGGGGGTCTCATTGGCAATCAGTGAGGTGCCACCTTCTCCATTACATGTATGTACATGAATCCAGCTTCAATGTATTCTCTGCACTATATAAACATACCTCCTTTTATGCCTTTTTGCACTTTGTGGCTTGCAACTTCTATAGAAGTCGTGTAATAAGCTTTGGGACTTTTTGTTGTAGCTAAGCTGCCCGTGTAACTTGCAATTCCCAAGCAGCTTGTAAAACACAGGTCTGGATATATACTGCAGCTAATCCACTATAGTTTTTTGTAAGGATGCCTCGACATTTCAGTCGCCGAAACATTTGGGCTGAAAATGGTACTATGGGCAAAATGCCGATAGCACACAAAACGGCAAAAATGCGGTGCATGCCCAGCTTCTCTCCTCCCCACTGGGCCCCGGGCCGTGTCCCCTCCATTCCCTGCTGTTCTCCCTTGCCTGTGTCGGCAGAGGCAGCAGGGATTGGAGGGGACACAGAGCCGACCCAGCGCCTAGCAGGAAGGGGAGAAGCTGTTAGGGTGCCGTGCAGGGAGGCCGAGCTCTCCTCCGGCACCCCCCGCTCGGCCTCCTGTGACAGGCGGCGAAGTCGGGATGGAAAGCGAATCAATACTGATCGCTGAGTATTTGTAAATAACTGAGGACATAGTAAGCTTACTGTGTCCTCAGTTATGAATGAGCAGGAAGTGCTCTAAATCACTTCCTGTTCATTCATGATTGTGGCCATAGTGCTCATGTCTCCTTATAAACGGAAAAGTTACTCAGTATAGAGACTTCCTGTTTATAACGGGGGCTGCAGAAAAAGAGATTTAGGGCTCTGTGTCCTCCTTTTTCTATTTTAATAGTGAAATATCAGGGGTCTGTTTTAAGACCCCTAATATTTCCCTGAAGCCTTTTAACAGTAAAGTTATTTTTAAAAAGGTTGGAAAAAAGTAAGTTCTCAGTTTCGGCCTGACAAATTATAAACATTTTATTTTTCAGTCTAAAAATTTAATTTCGGTGCGTCACTAGTTTTTTGGGCTTTGGTTGGCATTCTGCTTTTGAATATTGGGAGCAGAAATCCTCTTTCCTCCTTACTGAACTCGTGTCCCCTTAGGCTAAAAAGTTTGCTGCATCCCAATTCTTTCTATACCGTTATTGTAGCTGGTACTGCTCCAACAGGGTCTGCCCCTCACACATAGGTAGTCCCTCCATCCACAGAACAAAAAGGTTCACAGTTAATATTTTGTTATCTCCTCTCTCTACAGTTCTTGGTCCAATTGGCTGATCCCAACAGTGGCCGTCCTGATCCTGGGCTTTATGTACCGTTTTTATACCGCCGACGGCCGTTCCTCCTGAGTACCGGCCGCACCAGGCCGGCGTCCTCACGCACAAGGAAATGAGCAGGATCCGGAACAGAAGAGCGCTATCTGCCATCTGGACCTCTGCCACAGGTCCAATTGACGTTGTTTGGAGCCTCCTCATTCTAACTTGCTGATGAGACCTCTATTCCATGCTGTGAGCCTGCGTTGTCTTTTTATCCCTGTCTAAATCCTGGATGTTTTTATGGGACTCGGTAATGGAACCCCGCTGTTGGATTGTGTCACAGAGCATGCCTATAGTTCTCTTTACTTTCTCTGTGTAAGGAGCCTTCCCATTTTCTGAGTTGTTCACCGTCTGCCTGTATTATTACTGTCACAGTAACGCCTTCTTTTGTGTGGTAAAGCCGTGAGTGCGTGTTGCCCATTGACCTTCTCCACCCTGTTGAGGGTTTCTACTTCTTCCAGCTTGGTTGTATCCCAAAGGGAACCAGTCATTTCTTTTTTTGAGCAAGATTTTTAATATATAATTAGAAAATATGTTAGGGTTGTCTGAGTCTTCATCTAGAATGGGGGCAGGCAAACTTTGGTTCTCCAATACTGAAATTCTAATCCCATTGGGCATTGCATGACTCTCAAAGGCAGATGCATGATGGGATTGGTAGTATTACCACAGCTGGAAGGCCTGAGTTTGCCTACAACTGCTCCAGAACGTCTCTGCGACACATGCCCATTTCTCTGGTTTACCCTATTAAAAATATAAAAAGTTAGTGGCAATCTGCCAGGAATCCAGTGAGCTCCTTACTTTTTTGGGGGCTAACAACACATTGCTTTTGCTGCATTGTTATCTCAGCCCTGCCTGCTGTATTACAAACCTCTGCCTATTCCCACCCCTCTTTGCCCCTTTCCACATGCATACATTAAAGGAGAACTAGAGGGTCAGGGCTTTTCCCCAAAGTTCTAAGGGTCACGGGAGGACACAAACTAGAGTTGGGGGAAATCCCTGCACGGAGCTGTGAGTGACAGTCACGGCTCTCTGCAGGGAGATGATTGAGAAGTGAACGAGCGCCGGTATGTGTTCGCTCACTTCCTGATCTACTGAGCCGAACTGTGACAGTTTCATTGTCACAGGTCGGCTCAGATTATGAGACTGAGTGAAAATCACTCGCCCCATAATTCTCCAATTTGTGTCCCAGCCTCACCATGCTGCTTTGACTCCCAAGAGCCTGCTCACACCCTGTGAGTAGGGAAAGGGATCTTGGGAAGTGTAGATCTGGGGGTGTGTCTATTTCCATAGGAACTGAGCTCCTAGCAGCTGCCACCTCCCACAAGAGTTTTACGTGCTTGGTGATGATGCCACAGGGGGTAATATAAGCTGTTTCTTGCTACAGGAACAAGATGCAAAAATAATTATGCTGGCACATTCTAGAGGAAGAGGGGGTTTGGAATTAAATTTAGCTAATGCCTTCTAAGAGCCAGGGGTCGGAGGTCACCAAGCTGTGAAACACAAATGATAGACGGCAATCTTTGACCTCTGACGCTGTAGAGTCAGAGGTAGATAAGGAGGAAATAGATGTTTTTAGTATGGCTGAGCAGTAATAAAAAAAAAAAAAGTGAGTAATCAGATTCGTGCATAAGTCCAGTTGTGGCTGGTCCTCTTTTAAAGTGCAATTTCACCTAAAATCGATTTCTCTGCTATGAGTGGTGTGGTGCAGGGTTAGAGCCGTTGTAGGAGCCCAGTAAAGAAGAACTCCAATACCGCCACCGAAATAAGATTATTTTGGGGGCTTGAATTGAGGAAACATGACACCAGTCCTGTGCCATGCGCTCCATTCGGTGGCTCCTCCCCGGGGACATATGGGGAGTTGGTCTCGTTCATATTTAGTTGAGTGCTCAGAAAAGAGTTGGGCAAGACGCTGGTAAAGAACCCCATCAGGTATTAAACCCTTCCCCGCTTCACCCAAAACAGATACTTCTTAGGTCAAGTTGCTCCTTTTTAAGTGCAAATCATCCCTTGATTATTGTCTCCATGGTGCAGTTCACAAAGCGCCTCATCATGGGCCGAATGTATGAATGTGTCGGGTCTCGATTACGCAAAGAGTATGCTACCGCACTCCTTACCGGAAGCCCCTTCAGCACGGGTGCTGAAAATGACTGCGGACGGTGCCGCTAAGATCAATGGAGAAGTAAGATGTTACCAGCACACCGAAGAAATAGGTCAAATGGATGTCTTTTATTGACAATTGATAGCTAACATTGTGACGATATGCGTCATTAAAACGCATCCATTTGACCTATTTCTTCGGTGTGCTGGTGACATCTTACTTCTCCAAAGCTCTTGATTACCAACACTATCACTGCTTTGGGTAAGTTCCAGCATGTAGATATGTGTAAAGCGTAGGCTGACACATTTACTTCTCCATAGTTCTTGATTACTAACACTATCACTGCACTGGGAAAGTTCCAGCATGTAGATGTGTAAAGCGTAGGCTGACGCATTTACTTCTCCATAGGTTTTGATTACTAACACTATCACATCACTGGGTGCGTTGCAGCATGTAGATATGTGTAAAGCGTAGGCTGACGCATTTACTTCTCCATAGGTTTTGTTTACCAACACTATCACGTCACTGGGTGCGTTCCAGCATGTAGATATATGTAAACCGTAGGCTGACTCATTTAAAAAAGTATCGCGTAGCTTGAAGAACATCTCAGTGCACTTCAGAACTACTCTTCATAGGAATTCTCAGAGCCAAAGACGGTACATATCAGTCTCGCTGCAAGAGCTCTTGTCGTGGTTGATCAATGTACTATAGCAGATTCGAAATGCGTAAAAAGAACAGTTCATACATTTGGCCGGTGTGAATGACCGGTGAAAGCCATGCCAGTTCCATCATGGAAACAGTTGTCAGTGGATCATTTGCACCTGGTTGACTAGCATGAAAGTCTGTGGCTGGAGGAGAATACCTTTTAACGGTCATGGTTGTGAGTGACTCCGTGCTTTTTAAATAACGACAAAGATTGTCACCAATGTCATAGATATACACTTAAAGCCATAACCAAGGAAATTCAGAAATCATCAATTTTAATAAACCTCTTCTTCTCATGTCTTAGTTAATGCTGACTGGTTTATTTCTATGTCATATATCAGTATTAATATTGTGAATATACAGAAACAATTCGCATTTAAGTGGCCCCATTGCTAAAAAATGCTGTTACATTCAGGCTCAGTGAAGGTCCACACCCCCTGTGCTAATCAGATGACAACTCTGTCCTTTTAATCCCATGAAGGCTACTGGTCGTACACCTTACAACCATCGCACGACTTTCGTTGTGCGATGGTTGTAAGGTCATTAAAATCTCGTACGATCTGCCCATCTTGGACAGGCAGATCGTACTTGCGATCATCGCAAGCCCGCCCCGCTGAGGGGAGGACTTCCGATGATTCCAATGCTGAGCGGGCAGTGTGCGCTTGCGCACACCGGTCCGTTCGGCATTGGTCTTCTGAGCACGCCACTAACCCGCCGAAAATCGTAAGATTTTCGGCAGGTTTTCAAGCGTGCTCAAAAGACGTGCGACCATACAGTAGAAATGGTTGCACGCCTTCAACATACCTGTCGATTATCGTACGATCGCGGGATCACCTCGGCAGGTGTATGGGTACCTTAACTCTCCTTGATTCCTCCCAGACAGTGAAAGGGCAACGTGAGCTTCTAGAGAAGCCTATGCACCTCACCCCACTCGTCCCAGGTGATCATGCTGGTATAATTTGAGAAGTAGTACAGAGGTGGATGCCACATCACCAGGTTGGAATGTAGCAGCTGCTATTACTATCTGTCTTGCTTACTTTTATATGAATCAGACCACATTACAAATCACGGGAGCCTGCATGCAGACCAGGGATAAGGGGACTTGGAGTATATAAGAAAGAGATTCCTAAATGCACAGTTGTCATTATTCCATTATCGTGAAACAAGAGACATATGTGGCTGTAAGAGAAAACCTTGGTTGTAAGTGCCTTTTTGCTTTTTAACAACCTGGATTGCCATTTACAACTATATACATACACACTGATCAGCCATAACATTATGACCACCCGCCTAATATTGCGTAGGTCCACTTTTGCTGCCAAAACAGCCCTGACCCGTCACGGCATGGACTCCACTAGACCTCTATCTGGCACCAAGCCATCAGTAGCAGATCCTTTAAAGGAGAACTATGAGGTGAGTGATTTTCACTCAGCCTCATCATCTGAGCTGACCTGTGACAATGAAACTGTCACAGGTCGGTTCAGTAGATCGGGAAGTGAGCGAACACATACCGGCGCTCTCTCACTTCTCGATCTATCCGTGACTGTCACTCATGGCGCCCTGCAGGGATTCCCCCCCCCGGAGCTCCAGCGCTGACTGGCGGAACGGACGGGGGAGGGGGCGGGTACAGCTGGCTCTGCCTCTAGATAGGCAGAGCCAGCTGTCACTCACGCAGCTGGGTGGATCCAGACTGAATTGTCGGGATCCGTTCCGGCTGCGGCGTCTCACTATACTGAGCTTTGGGTGACGGGAGGACGCTGGTTTGTGTCCTCCCGTTACCCTTAGGAGAATTATGGGGAAAAGCCCTGACCCCATAGTTGTCCTTTAAGTCCTGCAAGTGGTGAGGTTGGCCCTTCATGGATCAGACTTGTTTTTCCAGCACATCCTACAGACAGATTGGATTGAGATCTGGAGAATATGGAGGCAGAGTCAACACCTCGAACTTGTTGTGTTCCTCAAACCATTCTTAAACCAGTGGGCATTATCCTGCTAAAAGAGGCCACTGCCATCAGGGAATACTGTTTCCATGAAGGGGTGTACTTGGTCAGGAACAATATTTAGGTCGGTGGTACGTGTCAAAATAACACTTACATGAATGGCAGGACCCGAGGTTTCCCAGCAGTGCATTGCTCAAAGCATCACCCACCCGCTTGCCTTCTTGCCATAATGCGTCCTGTAGCCATCTTTTCCCCAGGTAATCAACACGCACGCACCCGGCCATCCACATGATGTAAAAGAAAACGTGATTCATTAGACCAGGCCATCTTCTCCCATTGCTCTGTGGTCCCCATACACTACAAACTGCGATGCTCTGTGTGTTCAGACACCTTTCTATCAGAGCCAGCATTCACTTTTTCAGCAATTTGAGCTACAGTAGCTCTTCTATCGGATCGGACTACGTGGGTCAACCTTCACTCCCCACATGCATTAATGAGCTTTGGCCACCCATGACCCTGTCTCCGATTCACCGTTTTTCTTTCCTTGGACCACTTTTAATAGGTTCTGACCACTGCAGACCGGGAACATCCCACAAGAGTTGCTGTTTTTTAAAGTTGCTCTGGCCATCTCAATTTAGCCCTTGTCAAAGTCGCTCAGATCCTTAAGCTTGCCCATTTCTTCTACTTCCAACACATCAACTTCAGGGACAAAATGTTCACTTGCTGCCTAATATATCCCCCCCTTCCAGGTGCCATTGTAATATACCCCCCTCACTTCCAGGT